GGCTTTTGAGTCAGGTTTTCACTTATAGTATGAGTGAATTGAACAGGAATCCCTTAGGCCCACTCCTAGGTCAGAAGTTTGATTCAGCGTTTCCCTCTTCTGCACTGCAGTTCCCAGCCAGCATCCACACTGACCCACAAATTTTCTAGCCTCCTCCCCAGTGCTCAGATATAACAGGTGCTAGTAGACCTTTGAAACTATCTTTGTTTAGTATGTGAATCTAATCCTCTGTAGGAGAGTTCTTTGAGAGAGCATCTAAAACCCTTCCCCCATGAGAAAAAGCAGTAAATGAAGCTTATAAAAGAACTGTGAATTTATACTGGATACACAGCAGAATTCATTTTGACTTAAATTTACATGTAACAGCACAATGGTGTACTGGTAGCCGTGAATATTGGTTCATAAAATGCATGTTAGTCATGGCTTTTACTCTCTGATAGCATATCCTTCAGTCCATGTGTATTTCAAACCAATGTCTTTCTCTCGTAACCTGCAGTCATCTACTAACAGCCATTTGAAAAAGAACTGCGCTGGGTGGCAGAGCAGTAGGGCTCCTAATCTCATGCCAGGAAGTCTGAGGCCTCAGGATCCGATCAGATTAGAGCTCCTCAGCTGCAGTGCCTGTGCTCACTGCCTGGATGGAGAAATGCTCAATTCAATTTGCAGCAATTAGTGTGACTGAGGCAGATGCCCACGAGCCATGCATTAAGGCGGATCCTGCAGAGAAATGGGAATGACTCGTATCTTCTTATCCTGCAATTATAAAGTGATGAGAAGGAAAACAGACCAACTAGGGGGAAGAGGCTCATGTGGACCAGCACAGCAAGGAGTGGGTATGAAAAACAGGGCTGGAGGCAAAGGATTGTGGGGAGGTGTCCGGGGCACCCTGCTGCTCCTGCACTTCCTTTACAGCTCTCCAGGCACCTGTAGGAACTGGGGTCCCTGGCAGCATTTGGGGGCAGTGTTGGGATTAAACCTTGGAGACTTTTTTTTAAATCGCTGAACCTTCTAGCACAGTCACAGCTTGGTACTGAAATTGTGTGGCCCTGACCCTGAGAAAATAATCTTAAGATTCTGCCTACATCTTAGAGGCTTTCATATGATTTTGCAAAGCATAAAAAGAAAATTAGTTTACTAAATTTGAAGAGAAATGTATCAATAAATGTGTTCAAAAACACATTTACCCCTTATTAAGCCTTAAAACGCCCATACTGATTGAATACCTTCATGCTTTTAAAAATCCAAATCGCTGATATATTTTGTATATAGCTATAGACGGTTGGCTGCTTAGCCACAGTTCAGTTTCATTGGCAGTTCCTTTAAATGCCAGTTAAATTGTATAAAAGAATTGCTTGATGTCTTGTGTAACAGATACAATGTTCTTACTGAGTCTAAGTCACTTTGATCTGGTTTCTGAGATTTATATGGCAGTAGCTCTGAGTTTGCTCCTCAGGCTAAAGACAATGCCTTCTCCTTTAGGAAGCGTCCAGAGGGCTATTTCTGTCTGGCCCCATGGCCAGGCTTCTCAGGGTGGGCATCACTTTTCAGCCTATCTGGACTTTTGTTCCTGTGTTAAGCAAGATAGGCAGAGGAGTTGCACAAATGTACACAGTGTGACTTTTCTTTTCAGAATCCATTCACTTAGCAGTTAATATTGTTGCCACAAATATGTTTAGACTGCCTGTCCCAATCCTTGTTGTAGCTAGGCTCTTTGAGGGCCCCAAACAACAGCCTGGCGACAGGGCTGAGGGTGTTTCCACAAGTCGTCGTTCAGGCCCGCCTGTTGTTAGCCATCTGACCCAAGTGGGTAGGTTTCTTTGCTTGGTTGCTAGTATCTTCACTTACAATCATAGTTCTGAACTATAAACTTACATTTGCAATTTGAGGCATTCCCTGCATTCTAGTCGACCTCAAATGACTCAAAAATCAACCTCAACTTATAAAATATTTAAAAATCCAACTTTTGAGTTCCAGAAATTTACTCCACTTACACTTTGATTAATAATTCTCAGGGAAGCAAAAGACAAATCTCGTTTTACCAGAAGCAGCCTAGATGTGAGACAGTTGGCGGGAGATGCAGGCCAAGATACAACAGGCAGGGTTCAAGCTGAGGTGAGGTGCCGAGAGGAAGCATGCACATTTGCCATCCCTGCCCACATACCTCCTCTAGAGGTGCTGCTTCTCGCTACAGAGTTAAAAAAAAAACCCTCCACTCTGCAATCCCTGTGCAACTTGTGTTGCATCTGTGATAATGTTTTTTGCTTATAACTTCCTTTTCTCCACTATCTGTGGCCTCTCCTGGGCCAGAGCCCAACTTTTACTCTTTCTAATACATCAAATTCTTGACTCGCATTAGACAATTGGAAATATTAATGAATAGTGCCCCATATTAATGCTCTCTTAATATGACCTTGTGCCTTTTCTATTGTTATTAGAACAACTCCCTTCTGCCTCTCTGCTTCTCTCCCTTACCTGTTCTGCACCCCACTTCACACCCTCTCCATATCTGGGAAATTTCTGTGCACTTGTTCAGTCTAAGGTAGCTCTGGAATCCTTTCCCCACCCTCGAAGGCTCCAGAATACATTATTGCCTCTTCAGGATCCTGGAGGATACTTACTAATGCTTCTATGACAGCATTTAGTGTGCTTGGTTGATTATTGTCTGACTCCGTATTCTAGGAGAAACCCCAAGAGTCAGAAGCCATGTGTCATTCCCTACTGAATGCCACGTGCATAAGAGTTTCTTCACAACACTTATTCAATAAATGAATGGGTGGATGTATGGGTTAGAGTGCATCCTCTCCATTACTTAGCTGAGTAATTTTATTAATTTGGCATAACTTACACTGGAGAAAATCAGTGAATGTTCCATTAACCATTCTTCTTATTCCTGCTACTCTTCTTTTTGCCTTATCTGGAAACAGCCCCAAAGAGAATTCACTCCTCCATCCATCCTGTTCATGGACATTCACATAACGTTCCATTAAGACTCTTTTCCAATGGCCTTGTTTCACTACAGCTCTTACAACAAAATGCTTTAGGCTGGGTGGCTTTCAAATCAAGAAAAAATTAATTTCTCATAGTTCTGGTCTAGAAAGTACAAGACCAAATACTCACACATTCAGTGCCTGGCGGGGGTGCTGCTTTATGCTGTGTAGACAGTGCCTGCTCACTTTGTTCTCACACAGCACAAAGGGGGAGGCAGCACTCTAGGACACTTAGGGCTCTGACCTCAGAATATTATCACCTCACTCGGGCTCCACCTTGAGGACATTAGTATCTCGATCGTAACATAGAAAGTTTGGGGCACACAAACGTTTAGTCGGTAGCATGCACACAACCCTAAATTTTACTCAAATGAAGATACACAAACCACATCTAGGGCACAGCTTGAGATTTCATAATAAACCAAAGTACAGAGCAGATACAGCCTTTGCAAAGCTCATACTCATAAGAACTGTGTATTCAGCCAACAGCTCGGGATGTGGATCCCCAGTTGTACAACTTGGCTTGGTTCAACTCCAGAAGTACCATTTGTACAGACTAGGACATGAGTGGTATCCTGTGGAGGGATTCCACAAAGCAGTTTGGGTGAAGGTCTAATCTGGGTAAGGGACTCTGCAGAAAGTGCACGCTTGTGTTTGCAGGGTAGAGAGTGAAGCAGTTTCTCCTCACTTTGTAACAATCTCTCCTTAAGTCTTAGCCAGACTATGAAGCCCAGCATACCTAGGCATGCAGGTGCACAGTGCAGAAAATGCTGACTGCGTCTGTGCTCACTGATGGCCGTATGATAAAATCTACACCGAGAGCAACATGGGGACAGTGGCGTAATATTAGTCCCAGCACTCAACTTGCTGTCACCATGGTCTTTCTTTTCACCTTCTCAGACTTAACGTTAAAATGATTAGAAAATATAGGTTAATTATTTTAATTAAATCTTAGGAAGTATACTAAATCAAGTCATGAATATATTAAGGTTATAGTCTTATAAGGAAATACCATTTGATGAATTTCAGTAACAACTAATGACATCCCCTTAATATTATAACCATTTTTCTCATTTTATTTCAAAGTTTTCATCCTTTGAAGAGAGGATGGCTCTGTGTTTCTTGCCATTGTTCTTCATAATTGAATGAGGAAGAAAATAAATGGAATTGTATAGCTTTTTCTCTGAATCTTGATAACTGTATTTATTGGTATATTTTGCATAATGGTCTTTTTACTTTTAAATGTGTTCTATTCTGCTATTCTTCTCTCCATCCTCTCATCTGAAAAATTTTCATAGATTTTTAAATTCAACTTTTAATCCCATCTACTCTGAAAACTTATAGCTTCCTACCACCTTTAAAGGAAATAAAATTCAGACAAAAACACATTCTGAGAAGTAATCAAGCTTTATAAATATTACTGGAACCCTGCCTCAAACCAAAATCTAACATACCCATGATACACGGAAACTGGAAACATTGGACATTTGATAATATTAAAGGACTATTGTGACTTACAGCTGTGCTTATCCTTATGGCTGTAACTTAAAAGATCTGTTATCTTTTAAGATACCTGATATATTTTGGAATTAAAGCATATGGTTCTCTAATATTTGCTTCAAAATATCAAATGAGATACAAGATATATAGATACAAGAAGATTGGTCATGAGGTAAGAATTGTTGAGGTTGTGTGACGGTAAAATTGAGGTGCTTCCTTGTATGTTGTCTACTTGGCATATGTTTAAAATGTCTTACAATATAAAGTTTAAGAAGGAATGCTTTTCTCCTTAAATAGGATGGACAGTGTAAGACAAGGCATAATGAATTTTTTCCATTTTCCTAAGTAAATTCAAAGGTTTTAGGATACCAATTTATGGAAATCCTTCTCCTGGTATTATTATGGTAGACTGTTGTAATTGTTTAACTGTATCTTCTTTGACATTAATTTAGTTAACTTCTTTTAACATCAACTAAGTATATGTGTCTGAGAAGCATTTCATGTTTCTTTTAGGATTGTGGAAAAGGGGTATTATAGTGAGCGAGACGCTGCAGATGCGGTTAAACAAATCCTGGAGGCAGTCGCTGTAAGTAAGAAGTCACAGCTGTTGTGCTTAACTGCTAGTCATCTCTTGTTTAAGGGGATTGTCATTTATCAAGTGCAAATGTGTGTAAACCATAAAGTTTAAAGCGAAACCATGAAATATTTCCAAAACTTTTATACTTAACAAACTTATACGGTCTATTAATTACTCAGGCCTCCTATATAGTTCCATACATTGGTTAAAATAATTTCCATTCTAATATGTGAGGCTATGTTAGACTTTAGTGCCTTTAGTTGTTCCTTCTATTTTTCCTGTTTCTTGAGTTAGTTTCCTTATTGCTTTTTTTTTTTAATTTGGCAGAGAAGTGGAGGAAGTTTGAATGAGATATAGATGCAGAAACTTAGAGATTATTGGTTTTCTTTCAAGACAAGAAATGAGTAAATTAGATGAGAAAAATTTGGCAGTTTTAGTTCTTCAAGGAAAAATTATAAATTACAAACTTACATTAGAATGCAAGTTTTACAAAGCAATACTGGAAACAAACATACACATTTACAAATACAGTTTGAATGTCAGTCAATATTTGCCTGGATAGAAAGGATTACACTGGTGAAAATCTGTTTATAGAGTTAGTGGTGTCTCATGCACACTGGTGACTCTTTTACTGAATATAAAGCCAAAGGAAATTCTTCTCTACAGAAACAGGAGAGAACCTGAGGGAGGACGTTATTTTCAGAACCAGCCCAGAGTTAAGATACATTAATAATACACTGATAGACTGTATTCAGAGTCAGTTATCCAAGTAAAATTCAGTACATTAAAAATGACCCAAAAGTATGCCTTATTAATTTTACAGCAAAAACTAGGAGAGACAGAGAAAAAAAAAAAAAAAAGGAGGGAAGGAGGGCCAGAGGAGGGAAGGAGGGAAGGAGGGAAGGAGGGAAGGAGGGCCAGAGGAGGGGAGGCCCTGCTCACTGAGCAGCTTAGGTACCAGTGGTGAGAAGGGAGAAACAATCTTCACGATCGTTATAGAGAGCTGCTAGGAATTACCAGCCTGTGGTCTGACCAAATCCATTAGTAAACTGCCTGCACCAAGCATAAGGGGCCTTTTAGCCCGCTCTTTATTACTTTTCCTTCCTATGAAAGTACTTGATCATTTTGCTATAGTAGGTAATAAAAAGTTCTAAATGAGAGTGAAGGACATTAGAGAAGACGCCACAAAATTTTTATTTAATTGTACAACACAGCTCCTGATGCTCTGAATATTAAGCATTAACTTCATGCTGCCATCTCACTGTACCCAGAATAGCCTCCTCCTTCTAGATTTTTAGCATTCTAGTTTCCTAGGCTAGCACACTGGGGAATCCTTTCCAACTCTCCCTTCCCTTCTCTGCTCACGCCTGCCTTCTCCTTTAAGTTTATGTTCCTGCAACTGTCCCTGAACCTCAGGCTGCTCCTCACATGCAATGACTGTTTCTGGCATTACTTTTAACACTTTTACTCACTGCCAATTCTTATTCTTAAATATATAAATCTAAAATCATCTCTTTTGGTCCAGCCAAATAGCTCAGTGGATTAAAGTGCCTGCAAGCAGGCACAGGGGCCGGGGGTTCAATCCTTGGGCCTGCCGTTCTGGCCCTGTCCCCAGGGGCATGCTGAGATGACAATTGAGACTGGGCGTGGTGGCACACACCTGTAATCCCAGCTCTTGGGAGGCTGTAAACAGGCCGATCACTATGAGTCTGATCTATATATCAATCACTATTTTAATCTGCCACTTCCAGTGGAGGGCCTACATCCTGCCATCTTAAATACCTGTCATTACTTACAGTACAGCATCACTTGTGCATTCAAGAAAATTTGCTGGCAGTGACCCACATCATTTTGTCCTCACTGGGCAGGTAGTGAGTAAGAGTGCTTTGGAAGGGAAGCACATTTGAGTTCAGTTTTTAATCTATGAGTTTGGGGCCGGGGAGATAGCTCAGTGGCATAAGCACCTGCCTGGTGAGTGCAAGTTCCTGAGTTCAATCTCCAGTAACCCCCCTCCCCCCAAAAATATTTAATGTATGAGCTTGCATGTGTTCCTAAGCACACTAAGCCTCTATCAACCTAACATGATGGCAGCAATGATTAAGTTAGGTAATGCACGGAAAGCATAGCAGTGTTTATAAGACAGGGAAAAGAAGAGAAACAACTTCAGATTCAGTGTATTTCTTTAAAGATTAGTTAAATACTATAAATCTATGCAAATAGGTGAACTGTCTGACTAAATACTAGGATTAAAAACAATTGGTAGAGACTGGGCGTGGCGGTACACACCTATAATCCCACCTTTGGGAGGCTGAAAACAGGAGGATCACTAGGAGTCCGACCTGTGCAGATAGACCCTGTACTAACTACATAAAAAAAGAAAAGAAAAACCAATTCTGTAATCTTGAGATCCTTGATGTGTTGATTGCATGAAACATTGCTTAAGTTCAGTATGTGAAAATTCAGTGCTTTCATTTGTTTACCTATCAGTATGAATATTATACCAGTGAAGTTTGAAAAAGAAGTGTGCACACCCGATCTCATCTAATCTCAGAGGCTAAGCAGGGTCAGACCTGGTCAGAACTTGGAAGGGAGAAATAGTTCTCTAAAAATCACTATTCTTCATCTTATATCTTTCACATTTCAGTATTTGCCTACAATTTTTAATATGATATGTAATTATTCATTTTCAATAAATTAATAAAAATAAAATAAAAGTATTAAAAAATCAAGAAAAGAAAAAGAAGTGTGTGTATATATATATATATATATATATATATATATATATACAACATGCACTCAGTCAATCCTCCAGTCAGCATGCTGTGTAAGTATGTTTGCTGTTTACGCATTTAGAATTAGGTATGTTCATCTCTCTAGGCCTATCACATGCTGATTGTTGTCTGCTGGGCAGACTTCTTTTCTCTCTGAGACAGTAGCACGTCATGCTGCAGTGTAGGCCCTTTAGGCCCCACTCGCCTCTCCTTATACCATTTTCCTGATAAGACATTATTTCAAAATGGACTAATCATCACAGTAATTCTCTGAGTGCTTGTAATTGGCCTCTCAGTTCAAGTCACAGAATGCACAGATTGGGAAGGTTTTGGAAGGAGATAGAAGTGAGCAAAGTGCAGGCTCTGCAACCTGGGCAGCAGGCAGGACTCTGTTTCTCCTATTTTTGCTTTCTTTTCCTGTCACCTGCATTCCCGTGCTCTCTTCCAACACTTTCTCTACCTCTCATTCTCCAAAGTGACAAGTAGTCAGCTTAGCATTCCCCCAATGACATATTACAGTAAAACTTGAAGCCTGAGTTTCGCCTCAACAGATACAAATATCACTTGCTTCTGATTCCAAATTTCATGACGGAAACTACATTTGGCTCAGCTTGAGTTAGCTGTGGGCAGGGTGCTAACTGTGGCTTAAGTGGGACTGACAGGGCTGGCCCTGGTTTGGGGAAAAGGAAGTGTCTGTCCTATGGGAAAGGCAGTGGGTTTGTTCCGTAAGAGTCAGACACACCAAGAGGCTCCCGTCTTGCTTCCCTCTATTCGCTTTCTTTCCCTCTAGCATTTCTCCTTGTTCTCCAGTGCTAAATTCTCACTACATCCTCGATGCAGTTTGAAGTGGAAGTCTGTGTGTGCCAGAAAAGCATGATTACCACCAAATGGGATTTCATTTTGGCAGAAACCCTATTTGTTTATCATGGAAGACCGAACTTTCCTGTAGGCAACTTTACTCATTTCTTGCATTCCCATATCTCCTCCTCCTTTATAAATCAAGCTGTTTTCATTCATATATATGTATATATATATGAATATGAATATATATACATATATATTCATTCACTGATACCAGCACAGCACTCTTAAAATGTGCCTTCAGTTGTTTCAAATCCATAAATTATACAACTGTTCAACAGTTGTCTGCTCAAATTCTGCTTCCCTTAGTTTATATCACATCTCAATAATCCCATCAGCAAGTCTTTCTAATCTACCTCAATTTAGGACATGAGTCTGACAATTCTTCATCTTCTCCGAGCCCTAGTTGTAATCCCCATCATCTCCCACACATACTGCTGCAAACCCTTCTAAGGGGTCCGGCTACTTGTACCACTTCTCGTCCGTCCCCCTGGCAATACGCACTGTTTGAATCATAAGCCAAGTACCTAATTCCCATGCTTGTAGCACTAATAGTAGTCCACTGAAATGGAAGCACATCAGAATCCCATAGCTTAAGCTGGAGTACCACATTCCATCCCAGCCGTATGAATAGCAAGCCGTTTTTACTTTCCCTTGCCATGTTTCAGCCAGACCAATTTTTTTTTTTTTTTTTTTTTGCAGAACCGGGGATTGAACTCAGGCCCTTGCGCTTGCCAGGGAAGCGCTTATTCCACTGAGCCATCTCCCCGGCCCCAGTTTTTTTTTTTTTTTCTGACCCACAGAAACATCTACGTCAATTCCCATCTCAAGGCACTTCTTGCTTCTGTGACAGCAGTCATCTTTTACCACATTTTTACAGCTCACTTGTTTCATTCTTTCAAGCCTTTGCCAAATGTCACTCCACTAGAGTTGCCTTCCCTCCCTGCTGTACCTACCGTAGTGCCTACTACCTCTTCAAGCTGTCTTTTTTCTATTACCACATATCATTTTCTTTGATACTTGTAAGTATTTGAAATTGTACATTATTTTGCCTGTTTATTGGTTGTTGTCTAAGGCCTTAAAAGTCGGGGCTTTTCATTGTTTCCTTTTATATTTCTAGTGTCTAAACCAGTACCTAATAAATAACAGAAACTCAATAAATATTCACTGGATAAGTAAATGAAAATTGGTCAAAGTGCTCCAAAATAGCAGTCACTCGACAGTTTATCCTTCCAGACAATGGCACATACACTGAACATCTTTGCTAACATATTTATATTCATCTCATAAGAAACAGTGAGGTAGAACTTGCTTGCATTCATGGAGTCATTGTTTCTGTTCCTTTATTATTTTATTCTTTTCTTGAAATTCACAATT